TAATTGCCACATCAGCCTACAGTCAAGTTCTATAGAGGTAATGAACTACTAAATTTTATTCAGGTGTGTTGCAGCATAGACACATGTAAAGATGTCAGGACACCGGACCTCGAGGACTGGCGTTCGACAGCTGTGCTTTAGAGAGAGCCAAAGTTAAGGTGAAGTTTTTCTTAATGTTTATATAGGCTAAAAGCTTTCTAGCTCCAATTGTGTAAGCATGAAACAACCGATTATCACATAGTCAGTGAAATAGTTGACTCAAAGACAATTAATTGATAAAGCGGTATAAGAAATTCATTGATGATTTTTTAAAATATGAAGATGATGATTGTATATTATCTGAAACTTGAAAAGTTGAAGCAGTGGTAGAAATAAAAATTGATAAGCATTCTCCCATTTTCTGAGACTCGGGAAAGAAAATAGGAAAATATTCCCCTGCGAAGGACTGCATTTCTTCTTTTATCTGTGCTGATATGAAACCTTTAAAATGACTCATAGACATGATAACACCACTAAACAATGGATGTCGGATAGACATTCAGATAATGTCTATATTGGGTCCATTGGTCCATGACCGATTCTGGACATCTATTCTGGATGTCCAAACAAGGTCCACAGTTTTGGCGTCTAACCATGACCCAGCCTGGACGTTAATATGATGTTCAACATTTGAAGTTTAGACTGGGTAATATTTTTGGAGGTCATGTGGATGTCTATGATAGGTGCAGGAAATTTACATGATTAATAAATGTAATATTTTTTTATTTACAAATATCAAATTGTTGTTATCAACATGATACATATAAATATATGGATTACTTGATTACATGATTTATTGTTTATCTTTTTTTTTGTTTTGCTTGTTATTTTTAAAGTTCCAGTTTTGCTTTAACAGTTTTATTTTTTTTAATTAATTTATTATTTTAATTTTAATTAACTTATTTGTTTGTACTATAAATATTCCATACATGGAAGTCATACGGACATCAACACAAGTATAATGGATGTAGACAAAAGACGTCGCTTGTTGTTACAAAACAACCCCTTCAGCGGACCAAAATTATACGTCCAAAAATGACTTCTAAAAGACGTCACTTTGCGCAGTGGGATATGCCTCTTATCACCTTAATCTATGAGAGAAAGCACATCTGTTTATTTCCCACATTTTAAATGTGATCTTAAAATGACTTCATCCTTTGGGACGTGATAGAGTCTCAGGAGGATTGTTGGTAAGCAACCAAGAAACAGCAGAGACATGGCTAGCCTAGCTTAAAGCTACAAGTACCAAGTAACACAAGGGCTTTAGATGCTTTAGTTTTTGCTCGACGAACAACGGCAGGGCATCATGATGGCAACAGTCACTCAAATAGCCATTCATTACAGCTAAGGGATGCAGTAGAGTATCTCTAAACGCAAATACTCCGAAACTTGAGGCAGATGGAGTGCAGCAGCACACGACCAGTTTTGGTAGCTAAGAACAGGAAACTGACTGTTTCACACAGGCTCACAAAAATCAGACAATGGAAGATTGAAAAAGATTGAATAGCATCAATTTCTGCTGCAGCATTCAGATGGTAAGGTCCGAAATTGGTGTAAACAACATGAAAGCATGCAAACAATTCAGGCTGCTGGTGGTGGTCTGAGATATGGAGTGAGATATACTTTCTTGTCACATTTTGGGCCCCTTGGTGCTAATTTCACAGCCAGACTGTTGTTGCTGACCATCCCCATCCCTCTATTGCCACAGTGTACCGTCTCCTAATGCCTGCTTCTAGCAAAGTAAACATGAGTTCACTGTACTGAAATGGCCTCCACATTCACCAAATCTATGTCTAACAGAGCACCTCTCGGATGTGGCAGGACATGTCACATCATGGATGTGCAGCAACAAGTCTGCAGCAGCTGTGTGATGGTTCCAGCACACTGGTGTATCTATTTCATGAATAGTTGAGGCACTCCTGAAAGCAAACCCTGGAACATGCATGATCCATTTCTTCACATAGCATTGTTTATCTTTCACTGTAAATTCTCTCTGAAGCTCTCTTTGAGAAAAACGTGTTTTGATTAAAGTATCGTTCTATTGTGCCTTACTGAGTCAGTGTTTCTGAGTACAGAAATAACAATGCCACTTTTTCTTTGAGCGTATAATGAGCACAGGGTTAGGACACACTATGACAGTAAAATCACGAGATAAATATCAAAGGGAAGTTACTTAGTGGATCTTGTAAACCATTCACTTCAAGTCAAGTTCTCTGCAGACCAATTGCCTGCAAAATTGACAGTAATCAGCATGTAGCTCATGGCTGCTTGCTAGCAGCATAATTTTCAGTCTTTGGAGAGCAATGCTGGAGAAGTAGTCCGACTTTTGTCTTTACTCAACAGCTGTAAGCACAAGCCAGCTTGGGGCATAGATTCGGGTGATTTTATTTTAAAATGTTTATTGAAAAATTGCTTCTCTGCTGTAATTGACCTTCCTTTAATCTACCGTAAGCTCCTTTTTTTCAGTTGTAACCACAGGGAAAGCAAGTAGAAACAATGCATTTGCAAACATCCAGAATCATAGGTTTTGATTATTTTTACTATTTATTACTAAATGCCCAAAGATGATGTAAGCTACTTTAGTAATTCGCTGACCTGGACTGAAGTTTCTTGGGTTGTAGAAAATGAAAGGTAACATTCCTAAACTTTTGCATCACCAGCATTTTCTTTTTTTTTTGGTCTGACAAAAAAGTAAGACCTTTGAACAAAGGTGTACTTTGGACAGCCCATTCCAAGAGTTTTTAATTTAACATGCTAGATTATTCTCTAGGGTATCTTTGCTGTAATTTCATTCAGTGTAATCAAGCTGGTAGCCTGAAATGTTATGACTACATATTAGTTTCCCCAACATTGGAAGAGTAGCACCAGGGCAATGACCCTGTCAACGCATGACCCTTCTCAACCATGAGGTCAGCACAAGTGTGGGATAGGGTGTGTACACGTGTTGAAATATCTAAAAAAAAAAAAAAAAAGAATAATAAAAGGGCATAACCCCGTCTTACTTCTCCATTGAAAAAGCAGAAGATGGTGGCCACAAGCAGACCCTGGAATGAAAAAAAGAAACACATTAAAAGAGAGATGACATACAGCTTACTAATTGGTCTCAGGAAAGTCGTTTGTAGACAACATCTCAGGGTCTAAAGTGCTGTGAAGCAGGGAAACTTAAGAGGTCAAAGTGAATACATTTTGAAAGCTGATTCAGGCTGTTACTCAAGACATTTTCCCTGCACTGCGCACACTGGGACAGCTCAAGATGATCAGATAACGCTTCATCAACATCCAACGGATTTCAGTCTCTTTCAACTCAAATAATTTGTGCCTTACTTCCTGCTGTTCTTGCCTGGGCTAGACAAACAAAGTCTTTTCTCTGGCTAATGAGAATGTTTGACTCTTGTTAAAAGCTAGAAAACAATGAGGTTAATGTCCATTTAACAAATGATTTTATTAAAATACATGTCTCAAGCACCGAAGGAGACAAAGCAATCAATTTTCATAATAAAATAAATATGCATGATAGAATGACAACAGAACTAAACAAACAGAACAGTTAAAGACTGCCGTAGATGCCACAGGCAGTCGGCTTTCAATGCTTTATATGAATGTGTAGAAATGACGAGAATCCCCTCAAACCTTCACACTGATTAATAACCGCTGTCTCACCTGGTAATGCATGAGTATGTGCATGATGTAGTCATATATTTCCGAAGAGACCCGTCCCTCTGGCTTGTAGGGAAGCAGGACGTACTGAATTCCAAGCAGAGGGACCAGGATGAGCGTGGCTCTCACGGCTTTCATGTACAGACTTGATTCTGCTTGATGGGTCACCTTCAGTTTGGTGATGAGAACTCGCACGATGTTGAGTAGAAAGAACAAATTAACCTAAAGGGGGAAGTCATATATAAATCAGCATTACAGTCTAGTATTTTGATAGGATGTGAAAACAAGCAATGCCTCAAGTATAAGAGCATAAAGAGCAGTATGGCACTTTCTTATAAGAGGTGAAAATCTTTATTGGTGACATGCTTGTTAGACACCGTTTACTTGCTGTAGGTTATACTTTTTTGTCCTCCTCTTGAGGAGTTTCCTCAGATTTTTTTAAGGGCACAATGCACATCATGCCGATTCCTCTGAAAATAGTCTGGTACAAGGACTGGACTGAAAATGTTGAAAGACGTTCAGCCAGGAGAACTATTGCTTAAGACCACTTCTAAAATATTACAAGTACTTCTAGTTCATTGGAAGCAAATGATAAAGAAATCAAAACTTTTGCACAGTACTGTATTTGAATTATTAAGAGACTACAAAGCTTCTTTTAGGCATCATTTCTTTAAACCCGTCAATCCTAACAAGACAAGTGTTAACAAAAAAATCAAAGAGGAATGTTTGCTTTTTCTAATAAGCCGAGAAAGTCTTCAGTTCCGTTACTGCAGTATTATAAGACACCGAGTCTACTTCTGATACACGGTAAAGTTAGGAAACCTACACAGAACATTTTAAAGGATGTTGGAGGCTGAACATTTAGTACAGACTGTCCTAAGGGACCAGCGTTCTCTGAAGCATGCTCCAATGTGCTGATTAGGTGAATTCCTAGAAAACAACATAAGCTTGGGGACCAGTGGGTGGATTCTCAAAGGGGAAGATGCATTGATTTCACAAGACAAACACACTTATGCATGTTCTGAGACTGTCCTGCTCACAGGACCCCCCACAGAGTCCACTCAGAGGAGGACAAAAGCAGCTTATTGTACTCTTTGCGCAACAAACAGTGTGGCAAGAGAAACATGAAACAAATCAGCTGGTTTATTCTAAATAGATACATAGTGAATTACTTGTTGAAACTGATTGGAGTTAGGAAAGAAAAGAAGTAGCATTCTTACCAAAAGAGCAGCACAGATGGGGCCGTGGATGATGTAGAGCAGTGATGTTTTTGAGCTAATCCAGCAGCTGCAGAGGAGAGCAGTACAAAAAAGGTTTACACAACAGTAACGTTGCATCACATAACAGCAAATCTATCACAGCAATCGGTGGGTTTCCTTAAAAAAATATTATACAGGAGAACTTCTTGCACAAGCATTGGCGTTAACTCACTTGTCGTTGTAGTAGTAGCTCCGAGCGACGGCATGTATGGTGGCTGGGATAAGAGGAAAGCCTGCAAAACAAAGTGAGCAAGTTAGGTAAAGAAAGACCCTTCAGTTAGAAAAATGTAGTGATTAGCTGACTGATATCCTCTTCTTACCCCATCCTAGGAGATAGTACCACATCAGATGCTGCTTCTCAGCAAACACTGCCACCACGATGAGAGTGTGCAAATATATCCCCTCACACAGCATCCAGAAGTAATTACAGCCAAACAGGTACAGGTGAATAAACTGGGACACTTTACAGCTTGTCTGAGGAAGGAAAACACATAATAAATGTGGATTTATAGCAACTGATTTATGTTTAATATTAAACTAGAATGACCGGTGTAATGGTGCACATTAAACTAATAGAGACATTTGTGAGGCTACAGTCAAGTGAATCAATACAAATAATAAGAAACTGACTGGATTCCTCTGCACGAGCTCCTGGTTGTTGGCCACTGCAGTCAGCAAAATGATGGTGATCACAGAGTTCAGAACAAAAGAGAAGAAGAGGTTCTTATGAAGGGTGATCCTTTGACAGCTCAAACTCCTGGAAAAACAGAAAACTGAAGTTATGCCACAACGCTTTTATGTTATGCACAGACTGAGAAGCATCCGTCTATGGAAGTCGCTCATATAACAGAAGTTGACTCACTTGAAATGGAAAAAAATTGCTAGGGAGATGAGGAGGGAAGTCAGAGACAGCCCATGTCCTATGAGGGCAAGGTAGAAAAGGTTCATTGCAGTCTGAAAAGAAACAACAGATGGAAATTAGGTTATCAGGCTGTAATCTCATTATCTTTCTCCAAATGGCTACTTGACTAAGCATCAACATACATCTCAGCATTTGCACTGAAAGGCTCTTGAAAATGTTCCATTTGGCTTTTAATATTTATAATTTCAAGCTGATGGGGTTTTTTTATGAACCAGTTACAGGAAATTATAGTACAGTGCAATTATAATATAGTTTCTCCTTGTGTCCAAAAAAAAGGGGGGGAAATTGGGCCAAAGCAGAACAAATTCCAGCCTGTATTTGGTCACCAAGCAGACATGCTGTGGTGTTCAGAGCGTGCAGAGCCCCTCACAACCACATCACATGGCCATCAAAGCCATACTTTTCCTATTGTTGATTATCTAACATATAAACTCAGTCCTACCTACTGCCATTTTCAACCTACCATTCTGCCTTCTACAGTGTGCTCATTGCAGCGGGTGTAGTTGGTCCATGTCCTGTTGCTCTCCGGATGCAGAAACCATTGACCACTGTCAGTGCAAATCTTTGTGACCATCTCTGCAGAACAAAAAGTGGTAAATAATTTAAATGTATTATTCTGATTTTTCCAGTAGAAGGTAAAGGCAGATGAAAAAGAAAAACATCATTATGGATGGAGCTAATGAAAACATCAATTAGAAGAATGAAATCTAATTATAAGCCTGCACATCCTGTTGACGGTTGCGGTTGACTGAATGTGGTTAAGAAGTCCCCGGACGCTTAAATCAAATTTACTGTAATAAACAGTGATGTATTTACACCACTCCATACACGCATAAGTTAATAATCACACACACAAAAACCCTGCCTCATTAACAGAAGGAGCTGAAGTCAGTGATTTAATACACATTTAATACACTAAAAATTACAAATCCTGTGTTAATACTGAGAACAGAGCTTTTCTGCTTCATGGCCATTTGCTGTAATTGGTATTTACATTCAGTGTGTGAGCATAGTGTGAGGTATAGTCTTTGCTTTTTTCACTTAGAAAGATTCAAGCTAAAAGGTGAAGCAAATTTATACATGAAGAACAGTCATTAATCATGAAGAGCTCCTCTCAGCCTGCGAAATCTGTTACATAATACCTTTTGTGGTTCTGGAGAGCTTTAACCTTGGTGATATAATAAGTGTTATCTTGGTTTGGGCTTTTGTTTTTTTACTAAAGGCCTTCAAAGTTATGAATGAGGACCTGAAAGCCACAACAAGGAATAATCATCAGAGTAACTTGTCATCTGTAAATCTGCAGGTGGATGAAGAAAATTGGCTGCTGGAAGCTGCAGATCTCACCTGATGGATCAAAATCCTGGAAGTAGTCCGGGCAGTGCTGCTCGGATGTAACTCCTGCTTTGGTGTCATCCCAGCAAAGCCAGCCATCCCACGTGCGATTGCACACAGGTTCTAAAAACACAGACATCATTTTAAGAGCTTTTTTGCTCTTCACATTTGGAACATTGCAAACTAAGAATTAAGGAATAGATTAGGGTTCTCTTAACCAATTTCAATCAAGACAGCTTTACCTTGTCTGCTGTGGGTATTTTCTTTCATTAACTTTTGATAGCACTCAAACTGGGCTGTGACTATCTTGTTCCTGGTGACCGTAATGTCATTGTAGACACTGGTTGAAGCCTGCTGCTGGGTTTCATTGATCGCCAGACTTGCCTTCACCATAAACTACAAGACAGGTGAGAAAAAGTAGAAATCCACTCATTTTTTTTAAGCTTTACAAAGTAGAATGAGAGATATGTTATGGTACAGTGCAACAGAAACCAAGTAAAAGAAACAAGTGTATAAATTCTCGCTCAGTGAGAGGGTACAAAAAGTACTGTTGGTTATGTTTAAAATGAGTAAAGATGTCTCTGAGCCATCTTTGGTTATGTACTTGCGAACCCTCTGGTGATGCATTAGTCTAAAACAGTCAACACATACTACCAAATGCAGGAAAAGGGAGTCATACTTAGTGATTCATTAAAGTCAGTTGCGCTGCATGGAAACTATGACATCTATGCCTAAGTATTGGTGCACAGATGTGTCCAAGCACCAACCTGAAGCTGCATTTTTTGTCCTTTAAAGGATAACATCAAACATAAACAGCCTAGCAGTACATAACTCTCTGAGGTAGAATTAAAGGTGGTTGCTGTATTTATGAAATTTAGATCAGTAAGAACTAAACTGTGTCTTGTGTGCATTTTGGCTGACCTACCGCTGCTGGATTACACAGCAGTATAAGCGCTACCATCCAAATCTGTCCAAAGCCATCCAACTTCCTGTCAGCCATTTCAGAGCTGGACGATGATTTACAAACTGCAGACCTGCAATGGAAAGCAAATAATTAAACATTAACATTAGATAATCATTAAAATGTAATAAAATGTCCTCATAAAAAAGGCCCTTCTTATATATAAGATGACACTGGAATGACACTGAATAGTCTAAGTGGATAAGAGTGAGTTGACCTTTGCTAAATGCTCATTAAGTTTCTGTTTTTCCAGTTCAGGACATCAGCTGAGTTAGAAAATTTACTGAATCATTAAATACAACAAATTTATTCTGTGACCAAAAGAAACTTTGTAACAAGAACTTGGCCGAATCAGTTTGTTTTAATACCGAGGATTAACTACAGCAAAGCACTGTACAGTATGTTCTCCCAATAAACAGCAATATAACGTGCCCTCGCTCTCCATGTTAGGTCAGCTTGGAATTACAGGCTCCTGTGATGTAGCTTTTTGGCATAGTATTCAAGGGAACGCACAGCTGAAAAAATAAGCAGCTGTAATCAACCCAACAAAGCCGTATCAATCAAAGGAAGTGGTAAAAGTCTTGTAAGCACAGTACAGGCTTAAAATCTCCTGTTCCTACTTCCGCGTGTGTTTTGTAAGCCAAACTTCTTTTGCCTTACAGTCCATCATAAATTCTGCCAGCACTTATAATTCTGTTAGTGGGTGCAAGTTGCACCTCATCAAAGCAGAATCCCATAAGGTTGTTTGCAGCAAAGCTGCAGGCCACTGGGATTTCATGACAAGGCTGTTAGATCTCGCACATGGCTAGCCTAGCTTAAAGCTACAAGTACCAAGTAACACAAGGGCTTTAGATGCTTTAGTTTTTGCTCGACGAACAACGGCAGGGCATCATGGAAATTTTTTGCACAACTGTAATAAATTCGAGGGCAATTTGAGAGTCTACCTAACTCTAAAATAGTGTGCTGTTATGCTAACCACAGCATAATATTGATGTCTTCATTTTTTGGATGGTAATTCACTACTTGAGACTATTTGAACAACGTTTCTAGTAGACAATGGCAGATGCAGTAAGCATGTACTGAGGTTGGGGTTTGGCCAAGGCCTTAGGGACTTGGGCCAGGCAGATCTCAATGCACTAATGAGAGGTGAAAGAATTGAAAAAGAGGGAGGAAGAGAGGGTACGAAAAGGAGAACAAACGGCTTGTGGGTTAGTAGGGCACATATATACACAGAGAACCAGGGGAGGGGTGCTTCTGTTTTCTAGTTCTTCATTAGATTCTTGTGACACAGAGACACTTTATTAGGGACATCAATTCAACTGTTATTTTGTAAAAATGCCTTATTAGTCAAACATATGGCAGCAACAGCATGTAGGCATTCAGACTGACAATCTGCTGAAGGGTCATGGTTGTTGGTGCCAGACGGGCTGCAACCTACACAACCATCTCTAGAGTTTACAGAGAATGGTCCAAAAAGAGAAAATATTGACTGAGCAGGTGTTCTCTTGGAGAAAAGGCCTCGTTGACTTCAGATGTCAGAGGACAATGACCAGACTGCTTTCAGCTGATGGCAACAGTCACTCAAATAGCCATTCATTACAGCTAAGGGATGCAGTATAGTATCTCTAAACGGAAATACTCCGAAACTTGAGGCAGATGGAGTGCAGCAGCACACGACCAGTTTTGGTAGCTAAGAACAGGAAACTGACTATGTTTCACACAGGCTCACAAAAATCAGACAATGGAAGATTGAAAAAGATTGAATAGCATCAATTTCTGCTGCAGCATTCGGATGGTAAGGTCAGAAATTGGTCTAAACAACATGAAAGCATGCAAACAATTCAGGCTGCTGGTGGTGGTCTGAGATATGGAGTGAGATATACTTTCTTGTCACATTTTGGG